CCTTCTTGAGGAGCTATATGCAAAGTTACAATTAAAATTGAATTCTATTATGCCAGATATTGAATTCTATTTGATGACATATTTGCAGTGGATTGAGAAAGTGACGTATTTGATGATATATTTTATTTTTTTTATTCATGTTAGTGGAAAGATAATTTGTATTGTCAGCTCACAACTTTTTTTTAACAAAAATGTTATGGTAGAATCGAACTAGAACCAGAACTAGAACCGACGATTAGAATTTTGGATTTGGTTCCAATAATTAAGTGAAATCAAATGATTTCATTTATAAAATATCCAAAGTGTAATGGGTGGTTCCAGGTACTTGATCAATTACATGTCCGGACCTAAGAGAAAAATAGACGAAAAAAGGAAAAAATATAGCAAAATTGCCCCTAGCCCCCGATTACCCCAACCAACCTGTGCCCACTCGAACCCCAATCCCTATTCATCGCCCTTGATCCCAACCCCAGTCTCTTGTCCCCCAACCAAGCATATAGAGGCTGACTTCCAATCACTATAGGTGGCTCCACCACTACTTCAAGGGTAGGGACACAGCTAACTAGGGACCAGTGGGGCAATGGGGGCAATTACTCCACTTTTATTTTTGTATTTTTACCACCTTTTTTGAGTTTTTTTGACCCTTCACCGTTTTCTAAGTGGATGCCAAGGACTTCCAAATGATCTGTAAGATTGAATTTACCCCGGGGGGGGGGGGGGGGGGGGAAGAGAGACATTCATCTAGGATATACCTTTTTAGACTGTAAAATGGGGAAAAACTGAACTTTTGCACTGTTATTTCATACATGATGAAGCTACTCACAATATTCTTCCGGAATTTATAGGTCTACGAAGTTCTATAATATTAGAGTAATACTATGCAGCAAGCTCATGCTTAGCACCCCATTAGGTGATCAATGAAGTATGTTGACTACATGGCACTTTAAGCTGCATTTTAATTCATTGAATAATGAAACCGCATGATCCAACTTAAACCGAGGTTACATAACATGGTTCATAATATTATCGCGTACTACAATGAATGAAATTGAAAACAAATCTTGTTATTCATAGTTTGAGCGACTACAGTAGTAATCCTTGTGACAACTTATTATTTGAAATACTAATTTCGTGTAATTCTGTTACCTCGAATAACAAGATATCAAATTGGATGACTACTGCAATCATGAATAATATTACTTACATATTAATGAAGTTATTTTTCATGCTATATATATCAACTAAATAGATAAGGAAAAAAGAAGAGAAAAATGGAGCAAATCATAATTGGAGACAAGGGCTATAAGGTGTATTCTGATAAGATACTTGATTGTATCTCCTACCATTCATATAGTATATACCAATAACTGTAAATTGCGTGCATTAGTTACATATATCGAATAGCATCTGCACGAGTAGAGATTTCACTTATCAACCACATCGAAAGTCGGTTTGATGTATCTAGTAAAAACATGCAATTGTATGTACATATTAAACATTTTCGCGATAGACATTGAACCTTGACGAAGGTGCAGCATACCTAGAGGAAAAAGTCCCATAAGAGTCGTCTTCATTGTTACCTTCATCGAAGTTTTGAGCATAACCCAATGGACTATATCTAAAGTTGCCAGGTGGCAACTTGTGATTTGTTTGATTTCTCAACGACGTCCGTGAAAACATTTGTTTGAAAGATCCCCAGCAAGAAACTTTAAATCTTTCTTCATCTCCTTCGTCTTCACTTTCTCTATTTCGAGAAGACGAATGGTTCTCTATAGCTTCAATCTTTTTCTGCTTCATAATGTGTGTGGAGAGAGAGGGGATTGCTTTAATATTTTAGCGTGTGGTAGTGATAAAAACGAGATATATATAAGATTATGTCATGGACACCTACCATTTAATTTTATTGATTGCAATTTCATTATTTCAATTTTAATTTTGTATTTTTTTTTTTGTTGGCTTGCTATATTGGTACAAAAAATGAGGGACCTGTGTTAAAGAAACTGCTAGACGTGCATGGGATGTTAATGTTGCTTTCTACGATAAATTTATTTTTATTATTAACTGATATTGACACAGCATTTTCTTCAATTAAACCCATGTATATTTCTTTGTGTGATTGTGATGAATTTATATTATTAATTATACTGTGAATGTCAATAAAGAATTCCAAAGTCATCCAACTTTCAGCTTTTTTTTATAGAAACGAAAACCTTTTTTTTTTTTTTTTTGAACTTGATGTACATCATGGATGACAGCCCCCTCACGTAGGGGTGGGCAGCGTGGGGTCTGCGCCCATGTGAGGGGGCTGTCAAACTGAATGTACATTTAGCATTATTCTATTTTTTTTCTTGTAATGGCTGGAACATTTTCCATGATTCTTTGGAGAGGGATACGACAAATTTTACCTAATGGGTACTTGTAGAACGTTTGTAGACCATCTAATGCACCAAGTCTTTGGTTGAATACTGAATTTCTTATATTGCGTGTAAAAACACAAATTCCAACTTGTGCTTGTCGAGATTTTTGTAACTTTTAAATCAATAACGTTAAATTATTCAAATAAATCCAATGCTAATTATTGCACAAAACTTCGCCACATTTCAATCTTGTAATTAAACCCTACTTCTCCATACCAAAGCTAGCTAATCGACCATGTTAAACCACACTTCTTTCTTATTATTGCAACTGAATCATACAGACGAATAAAATGAGAACACAATTATGGCAACATACGAGAAATCATAAAAAAAATTAAAAAAAAAAAAATATATACACACATGCAAACACACGTGTGTTTGTGTGTATACATATATTTCACATTTTCATATAATTTTTCCTGACTTTTTAGCCACAAATTTTTCAAAAAATCACTTTTTAAATATTCACTTTCATACTGACGTTAAATATCTAATCAATTTTTTTGGGTCACCCAAACAAAAAAAAATTACAATAAATACCGATCAAAAACTAGAAACTGTCCTTTGCCAAAATTGATTTCTTAAAGTCTAAATCCGATTCTCAACTCAAATTCCGATCTTCATAGGTACATATCCAACGCAACTCTACGCCTATGACTCCAACTTAAAAATAAAATAAAATTGACAATTGAATGAACAAATCATTTTAATTACACAACGCTAAATAGAAAAATTAAAACGGAAAAATCCCTACAACACCCATCAAAAACTAATTTATGCCAAAAAAAAAAAAAACAATTGAATGACTCTAGCTTTCAATAAAGTGAAATAGACATCGATAGAATCAATGCTGATGTTACAAGCTTGTAAAGAAATGGGTACACTTTATTTTTCTATGTGTGTGTGTGTTACTCCAACAATTCATCAATTTCCACAATCTTTACTACTGAAAAATCTTGATGCACCACCAAAGCAGGAATTCGAGCGAAAACCTTTAGAACCCGAATTTTGGAATACACCAAATTATGAAAAAATGAAACTCACGAATTTTATTAATGAAAGATAATAAAAAATAATGAAATAACCCTTTTATTTATAAGGATTTACAAAAAAAAAAAAAAACATAGTTTAATAGGACTTAAACTGATGAAAACCTAGTTTTGAAAAAAAAAAAAATCGAAATAAACTAAATGACAAAAATAGCGCTAAAACTTTAAAAATTAGTGTTTGAGTCCTAAACGAACTCAGATGGTTGAAATCCATCGTACATCATGTCTTAGCAATGAATAGTACTCGTATCGTCATCTTCTTTCTAGAATGCTATTATGAGCCAAAATTGAAATTCGAATGTTCTCTCTACCCTATTATGTTCCCCCATTTTGATCCAATTTTTCAACAATATTTTCTACATCGGTCACTTTCACCTCCAAAGAACTCGAATCCGAGTTATAATCTGCATATAAAGGTTCATCATCTTTTTGGAACTCATACAAATCTATCACATAGAATGTTCGAGAAATACTCATAGAAGTTGACAAATCAATAATGTAGGCATCATTGTTGTTAATCTAGCCTTATACTTGTTTATTGATCCATCCGACTTCAATTTATTTTTGAAGATTCACTTACAGCCTAAAGTTTTGTTTCTCAGAGGAAGTTCAATGAATTCTCAAGTATAGTTATGCATAATGGATTCAATTTCATTATTAACCGCTTCTTTTCAAAAAGGAGTTTCGGGAGTGGACATTGCTTTGTTAAATGTCCTTGGATCATTTTCTAGTAAATACGTTAAAAAATCTGGACCAATGGTCTAATGAGTCCTTTGCCTTTTACTGCATTTTAGTTCTTCATCTACTCGACTATTACCATCTTCTTGATAGTTTCCATTTGCAATATCGTAAGTTCGTTTCTATGAGCTTACTTATTTCTTTTTACAAGGAAATATATCTTCAAATAAAGCATCATTCCTTAATTCAATGATTGTACCTACATGTACATCAAGTATTTCTGATTTATGAACAAAAAATTGAAATGCACAACTATTGTTTGCATATCCAATAAGGACACGATCTATTGTCTTAGGTCCAATCTTTACTTGTTTAGGTTTAGGTATTTGTACATTTGCTAAACACCCCCACACCTTAAGATATTTGTAAGAAGGTTTCCAACATTTCCATAACTCATAAGGTAATTCAACCTCACTCTTGTGTGGTATTTTATTAAAGATATAATTTGCCAAAAGTATAACTTCTACCCACAAGTTTTGAGGTAAGCTATAGTAATCAATATTGCATTCATCATTTCCTCAGTGTTTGGTTTTTGCATTCAACAACACCGTTAGATTGAGGTAAATATGGTGCTGTTGTTTGATGAATAATTCTAGATTCTGAACAAAAAATTTCAAACGGTGCGTCTATTCTCCATTTCGATCACTACGAATCGTCTTTATTCGTTTTCGGAGTTGATTTTCAATTTCAGTTTTAAAGTGCCTAAACACTTCAATACTTCATCTTTACTTTTCAAAAAGTACACAAAATAGTATCTTGGACAATCATCTATGAACGTAATAAAATACTTTTTACCAACTTTTGTTTGGACAAATTTTAAATCACATATATCTGTGTGAATAAGTTCTAAATGTGTTATGGTTCGTTCAACCAAATGAAACGACGCTTTGGTTAACTTAACCTCTACACAAATTTTGCATTTTCCATTTGTATTAAACCGTGTACTTGATAGTAAATTTAAATTCATAAATTTGAGTGTAGAACTAAAGTTTAAATGTCATAATCTACGATATCATAAATTAGACAACTCAAGAATACTAGCAGAAGAAGATATTTTTTTTCATTGAGTTATTTGGTACAATGGTAAGGACAGACTATTTTTTACATAGCATTTACCTACATACATGTTCTTGATAACTATGAACTTATCAAATACAAAGATTAATTTAAATTCATTCTCAATTAACAAAGAACACGATACTAAGTTCTTATGAATATCCAGCACATGAAGAACGTTGTTAAGGTTAAGTTCTTTGCCAGATATTATCTTCAAAATTACTTTACCTTGTTCTTCAACCTTTGAATTTGAAGAGTTTTCCATGAACAACTTTTTACCATCGGTTGGAATGTAGGTTGAAAACATTCATTTGTCAGCACAAATATGACGGGTTGCATTCTGAAATAACGGACAACAAATTTATATCTGATATACTATCAGATATTGCATTAAATTCGATAATATTCACTTGGGCTTGCTTCTTAGGTTTGCGAAAATCAATAGAGCAGTGTCCGACCTTTCTACAATTATAGCAATTGTCTTTGAATTTATTTGCATTCTTCTTGAAAGATACAACTGAATGCTTCCTCTTCTTGTTATTATCATTTGATTCCACCACAATAGCCTTAACTTGTGGTATATGACCCCAAAAACGATTGTCTGAATTTTGGTTATCTTCTTCAATTTTCAACTGGACAATGAGTTCTTCAATATTCATCTCCTTGCGTTTGTATTTGAGATAATTCTTGAAATCCTTTCACATGGATGGAAGTTTCTCAATAATTGCAACCATTTGAAATGATTCACTTAGAGACATGTTCTCGTCATAAATGTCATGGAAAATTACCTACAATTCTTGTACTTGACTGATCACCATCTTTGAATCTACCATTTTGTAGTCCAAGAATTTTTTCGCAATGAACTTCTTAGTTCTGACGTTTTCAGTCTTGTATTTCTTCTCCAAGAATTCCCATAGTTTCCTTCGCAGTTTTCATAGAACTGAACACATTATACAAGATATTGTCTAACCCATTCAGTATGTAACTCTTGCATAAGAAGTCTAAATGTTTCCAGGCATCCAATGCTATTAACGATGTCATGTTATTTTCCCATTCTTGCAGGCACGAGCATCATTTTTCAAGAATTTTGCAAAGTTTAGGGTTGTGAAATAAAACAACATTTTCCATTGCTATATCTTGAAATCAACTCCATTGAACTTCTCCGATTTATCTCCATGTGGAACGAATTATGTATGAACGGTGTGAGGGACAACCGCAACAGAAGAAATCACAATGGTGGGAACCAATTTAGGTACAACTCCTTCCGAAGTTCTCATATTCAAAATATTGTTCGAAGAAGTATTGATATTGTTAAATCATATTCATTTCTGTTTATACAAAACAAGAGATAAACCAACAAAAATCAAAATTCGAGAAGGAGTAGAAAAAGTTAAATCGAAACGAAATCAGTTTAACTAAATAGAAATTAAATATAAAACTATCACTCAAATGAAAAAATTCGACTTAAGATTGTTGTTTGAAAAAGGATTTAAGCGATACTTTTAATAAATCAAACTTACCAACATTACCAAAAATT